CACACACACACACACTAAGAAAACATGAATGAAGCGATCCTTCATCCCTTTACCGCATCAGAATTTTATAGAAAAAACTAATAATAATCTAAATCCAAATGTACACCTATAGGCTCAAAATCGTGGTACAAAAGAGTCCACATTTATCCAAAATAGTCCATTTTATGCAACGTCCATACTCTGTGTCCTCACATAAAAGTGGTTTGGTTCAAACTTCAGCAGGTCCCGCGGCGTGGAAAGGATCTGACAGTGAATGAACTGGAGCTTCTCTCATCTCCTCATGTTAAACTCGACGAGCCGCGCGCCCCCTCAAGACGAGGTGAATCTCTGCAAACCACGAGCCTTTCAAGTCACCGCCTCAGTGAAACTGCAGTGCTGGGGATTTTGATTCATCTCAGTGACTCGGATCTTTTGAATCAGTAAAAAAAAAAGATTCATTTAGTGAAACTTTTCTGCGGGTTACGTCAGTAGGTGACGACAAGCGACTTCAGTCACTCAAGCAATTTGTTAAAAAAAACACCGTATTTGTTCGCAAATTTGTTCAGAAATGACATACCACTAAAAATTGGATATGTTTCACCTTGCTAAACCTATGAAGACAGATTTTTTTTCCCACTTAACTCCACATTTCTTCAAGATTTGACAAGTGCTGAGGACGTGACATTCTGACAAAAAATGCGTTGCTTGAAAGATAAACCGTCGCGTGTATTAAAATACGAATTTATTTTGCTTTATATTTCTACTCTGGAGGTGAGTTAGCAAGGTGTTTTCCTCTGAGCTATTAGAAAGTTAATAGTTAACACATTTAGTTCATATTCAGACGGTGTTTACATTAGACATGTCCTGTCAGACTAATGTCTAACAGGAGAAATAGGGGCGAGTGAGTTTCAGGGTCTACTGAAGCCAGTGTGTCTCCTCAGATTTAGATGGGTGAGTCCTTAATTAACCCCACTGAGACAGGAAGCACCACAGACTGACAACTATTGAGGAGAAATGATGGGAAAGAAAGCAACAATGAATAGGCTACAAGCAGAAGAAAAAAAGGAGAAGGTGAAGACAGCAGACTACAGGAGGTGAGCAGCACAATGTCCTAGAGTTGAAACAAAAGCTGATAAAATAGACACGACACACACACTACCTTCCGAATTGGGTTTGGTGCGATTTGGTGAGGTAAAAGGAATAATAGAATTCTCTGGAAGTTTCCATTCATTCCACTCATACCAACGATTGGGATTTTGTTTTACAACAATGCATTCTGGTTGTGAGTGTTCTTGTTTCATTTTATAAGTGTGTGTGTGTGTGTGTGTGTGTGTGTGTGTGTGTGTGCGTGTGCGTGTGTGTGTGACAAGCATGAGTTGCATTCCTGACCCTGACTTTAGCCGAAAGATGGAGAGGAATGTGTGAGGACCCACGCACACACAAAGTTTCAGCAGGTGAAGAATCTGGAAATCCAGTGTCTATGTAGTTCATGACTGACATCTCAATGAAGACAGAGGGGGGAAGGGGTACGAGGTCAGAAGACCTGATCCGAAAGGGCTGAAATGGAAAGACGTTTTGATATGGATGGCTATCAAGTGACAGTTTGATATGGAGGAAAAAGGAAAAGCAAATGAGCGGACATTTGTTATAGTTGTGGTAAAAATAGGCAGAGAAAAAAGGGACTATGGGAGTTGAAGTCTTCTGAGATCCCGCCTTGCCAAAGAGAATGAGTCACTGTGCAACTACATCTACCAGTAATATGTGTGGGAAACCTCCATGGAGCACAGAGATGCATACTTGTACCTTTTCTGTAAGACGGACACACTTGGACACATGGACACCCACACATACCTCGAGCACCGGCGGTCCATGCCAAGCTGGGATTCCTGCCAAAACCAAAAACCTTTGCTCTCCTTCCCATCCGTCCAAGCATGAGAATAATAAGTTGAACTTCTATCGTGTACAAACACTGCACACTTGCTAGCTGGTCAAGCTCTTGACTTGTGGTACTTTTAAGGAATAGTTCAGTAGTGAAAACTCTGTCATCATTTATTCACTCTGATGTTATTCCAAACCCAACTTTATGTCTTCCTTGGAATGCAAAAGTAGAATTCAAAGCATTTTTTTAAGCATTATACTTTATGTAACTTTATAATAATAACATATATGAAAAACTTTTGTCCGACAAATAAAAGTTAAAATGCATCTGAATTGTAATACTTCCCTACATAGTATGTGATAAACGATACACTAAAGAGTAGTATGACCAAAATCATAGTATTCAAAAAATTGTAGGCGAAAAGTACACAGATGATCTACTACTTCCAATGAGATTTTGAAGTGCGTATTTTATGGGCACTGTATTATCCCAAGAGGCCACAGAAAAGGATTTATGAATGGCAGTGAAGTGAAGCAACTGACGCTGGTAGGTCACATGACAGTAACAACATGGCATCCAAATTTCCTTCATGCTACTTATATTCATACTACATAGTACATACTTTTCTAACGTCGTAATGTTAGTTCAAATTTGAATGTAGTACCTACTCAGACAGTATGCAGTTTCGGACACCTCATGTGTGGGGCAACCAACATACAGAGGCCATGTTTCATCGTGTGACAAGAAAACCAAACATAGAGGACCAATTTAGACCCACATGACTATGTGTTAATCGTTACATTTTTTGTTTGTTTGTTTTTTGTTTGTTTTTACCAAAACATGCACTTTATTCAGGTCACATGGACTAACCCTAAGAAAACATGTTGATATTCATGACTCAAAAATGTTACATTTTTAGACTTGATGGTTACACCACTTGACATTTTTGCATCAAAATATAGTTAAAGTATTTTTAGAAAATGTTCTGAAATCAAAAAAAAAAAATAGTGTATTACAAGTTTTCTGAAGCTATTTAACACAATGCAAAATTTTTGTCAATATGACATATCACGACATGCTAAAAAAAAAGATATTGTGGCCACGAATCAAGAATTTGTTTCCACGACTTATTCATTTATGGCCATTTAGTTTAATTTAATTCATTAATTAATTCGTTTAATTTAATTAGATTAATTTATTCCCACAACTTATTAAATCGTTCCCTCGTTTTAGGTCAATTGTGGCCACGTTGCACTAATTAATTCTTAATTTGTGGCCATAATATCTTGTCAACCTGATTTCACAGGAAAACTTAACTATTTCACAAGGCGGCATTTCATATGAATTTGTGTGAATCGTATGAAAACATACAATTTTTAGAAAAAAGCATGAAGGTCCATCCCTGAACATCAATAGGACGTAAGCAGATCATATGAAAATGTACGAATGAGATTGTACGAATTTATATGAATTGGCCAACAATTTGCTAAAATGTAAAATTTACGAATTAATTGCCATGACATTTTGTTGCATCTAGTTTTTCCCTGAATGTCATGTGCTCTTTACAAATACTATTTGTTCTCATGTGTCTCATATTCAAACACGTCATTCCAACTTTGAAAATGTGGAGGCATGAATAAGAATGAAGAATTTGGTCTCCCAAAGTTTTGGCTCTTTTGAAAGTAAGTGAAAGTTGAGCTAGTGAGAAATAACGTGTCTTGAAATGCCATGCAGCATCGGTGCCAGAACATTGGGACCAAAATATGTTCATCTGTAATGGAGCTCGGCAGTGCAATGACAGCATCAATTATTTTGGTTTGCTCTGCAGTACCCATGAGTGGACAAAAAAATATATAAATGTAAGTACAAAAGTATTATTTATAGTGGAGGAAAAAATCCTCTGCTTTGTTTCTCCTCCGCCGTCTCTCTCAATTTGTGCACTGTTCATCATCCCCAGTGTCTCTGGCTCCTGCAGAGCTTTAGTGTGTCCGGAGGAATTAACAGACCAAGACCTCTGCCACCAGAGACAAGCCCTCAAGCCCTCACAAGAATAACAGTGTTGCAATGCTTGAGCGAGGAGAAAAAAATTAAGGGAAATTCCCAAGAGCAGTCCAGACAGTTTACACAAAAAGACACAGACTAGACTTCTCTCACCATCCTCCAATTACTGGCTTTACGTATTTTCTTATCATACACTGTGTGTGTTTGTGTTTGTACATGTCTCATCTCATCCCTGTAAGCCATTTAATAAGGAGACCCTAAGATGAAAGAAGGAAAGAAAGGTGTGGTTGAGCATGTTTGTTGTACCTGGAAGGAGTGTTCTTTGCAGTATCAAAAATGTCTTTACAAAATATTAACTAGCGTCCTTGCTTCTCCCTCAGTGTTGGGGAGTAGCTGTATGTAGTGGTGCTGCTTCTCTTTTTAGTAGCCTGACATTAGCTCAGCTATTCTCAAAATAGTGTTGATTTTCCTGTAACAAGCCATTTTTTTCCAATATGTTGTGGTGTAGCATGACAAAACTCACCATTGCTGTTATGCTTTATGTCACTGTGCATTATGCTAACAGCCTTACAGCTAAGCAAGACTTCCAAATGCCAACTTCCAATCCAAATGTACCTAATTTACTTTCTTAATAGATGTTCCTGGTTTAATTCAAAAAATAAGTTTGTAATGTTTCAGCAAAATGTAGCATCTTGCTAATAATGGTAATATTAGCAAAATGGTTACCTAGACTACCACTCCGTTTAACAAACTCACATTCAGTTACTATTCTAGTATGTAACTCTGACTTTTTATGATTTAATACGTTCTTAATGGATAAAATTTAGTCAGAAATTGTTGTTTTAGTAAAAAAAAAATGTAGTTAGAAATTATGGAAGTGGAAAATTGGTTACATAAAGAACTTCACATTGACTCAAAATATCTCTTAAAATTTCCTCTCTCTCAAACGATGTTATTAATGGGGGAAAAAATTGTTAACTGAAACAAACCTTTAGTTTAAAAAACTAAATTGTTACTTTTAGTTTAAAATAGAGCTAAAAAAAAAATATTAAAAAAGACAAAAACTATAGTAAAAATGACAAAAATTACTAAAAACATTAAAATTAAATGAAAACTGAAAATATTTTAAAAAGGCTGTAATAATATATAAATAAGACAAAAATGATATTGTAATCAAGTAGTCATAGTCATAGTCATAGACAAGTAAAAGGTAAATATACAAATATACAATGTAAATTCAATGTAAATATACAATTTCACAGAAAAATTCAATAAAATAAAAATGACCAGTTAATTTTGAGTTCCTTTGCAACATAATCTTGAACTAGCTTGTGGCTAAGCAAGCTCAAGTTTCAATAGGAGCTTCCTCAACCCCTGGTCTGCATCAGTAGGTAGGTCAGAGAAGACATCAAAGCCTACACTCACAGTATGCTTGGCTGCTAACCAAAACCGATTGTGCATTGTTGCAGGAGCATTTGGGTGGTGGCCAAACAAAGGCTTATCCTAGATAATGCACGAATATGCTTAAAAATGCCAGAGTTTACTCATAGATTCTACTGTCATACGTCAAACAACATCTGCACGTTGAGGACGCAATTTGCATCTGAGCACAGATGAAGAGGTCAAGTCCAATGATGCTGCACGGCTATCGAGACCTGCTGCAGTCAGCATGAAAATAAAGCTTTGTTTTGATATCTATGATCTGACACACTCATGCAGGAACATGCATACATGTGTGTACTGCAGTGTGGAATGCTCTTTGAAACAGCATGGTACAACTTTATCTGCATTGTGCAAGGCCAAGTCTCTATCTTACAGTGTTTGCACATGCACAGTTATTGACCAAAGTGTGTTAAATCATTAGTGGTACTTGCTAACAGTGCATATTTAGAGTTAGTGATTTGAACAAACCCCTAAAGCCCAAAGTATACTTCAGTTTTTCGCGTATGCGTACAGCTGAATGCATAGACTTTCAATGTATACTCAATTTGATAGCGTGCATTAACACAGGTGTCAAGTTGCATGTGCAAGCTGAGCGTACAAAGTATGCACAGCTCTAAAAATTATACGCTCTATACGCATACTGTACAGATACGTTAGCATACACGTAAAAAAAAAAGAAGTATACTGAAGTACAGTAAACCCTAAGTTTCCTGGACAACCAGAAAATTTTTCCAGGTCTGGAAATGTTCTAAGGTATAAATATAAAATTTCACAGAAAAATACAATAAAATAAATAAACTATTTATCTAATTAAATTTAACACACTTGCACTCAGGGCCGTTTCTATCCCTTTTGACGCCCTAGTTGGCGTCCCAAATATTGTCCTATCCTAACAAACCATACATCAATGGAAAGCTTATTTATTCAGCTTTCAGTTGATGTATAAATCTCAATTTCGAAAAACTGACACTTAAAGGGGTCATATGATGCGATTTCAATTTTTCCTTTCTCTTTGAAGTGTTACAAGCTCTTGGTGCATAAAGAAGATCTGTAAAGTTGCAAAGACTAAAGTCTCAAATCCAAAGAGATATTCTTTATAAAAGTTAAGAGTCAACCACGCCTACCTAAAATGGCTCGTTCTAACGCGCCCCCACATGTCTACATCACGATATGGGAAGATTTGCATAACACCGCCCAAATGTTCACGCAAAGAAAGAAGGCGTAACTTTTATTCTCGCTGTAGTATT